CACACACATGAACTTTAATGGCGTCCCATTCTTAATACACAGGCTTTAATATGGAGTTGGCCCACACTTCAACTCTGCTGGGAAGGGTGTCCACAAGGTTTAGGAGTGTATTTATGGGAATTTTTAACCATTCTTCCAGGAGAGCATTTGTGAGGTCAGGCACTGATGTTGGACGAGAAGGCCTGAATCACAGTCTCCACTCCAAATCATCCCTAAGGTATTCTGTCGGGTTGAGGTCAGGGCTCTGTGCAGGCCGGTCAAGTTCCTCCACACCAGACTCGCTCATCCATGTCCTTATGGACCTTGCTTTGTGCAATGGTGCACAATCATGTTGGAACAAGAAGGGGTCATCCCAAACTGTTCCCACAAAGTTGGGAGCATGAAATTGTCCAAAATTAAGAGTACAACCCTAAATTAAGAGTTCCTTTCACTGAAACTAAGGAGCCAAGCCCATCCCCTGAAAAAAAACCCACACCATAATCCCTCCTCCACCAAACTTTACACTTGGCACAATGCAGTCAAGCAAGTACCGTTCTCCTGGCAACCAACAAACCCAGACTCATCCATCGGATTGCCAGACAGAGAAGTGTGATTCGTCACTCCAGAGAACACGTATCCCCTGCTCTGGAGTCCAGTGGCGGTGTGCTTTACACCATCCGACGCTTTGCATTGCACTAGGTGATGTATGGCTTCTATGTAGCTGCTCGGCTATGGAAACCCAGTACATAAAGTTCTCTACACACTGTTCTTGAGCAAATCTGAAGGCCACATGAAGCTTGACAGTCTGTAGCTATTGACTCTGCAGACAGTTGGCGACTTCTGCACACTGTGCGCATCAGCTTGCATTGTCCCCGCTCTGTGATTTTACAGAGCTGAGTTGCTGTTGTTCGCAGTTGCCTTCACTCTGTTATAATACCACTAACAGTTGACCATGGAATATTTAGTAGTGAGGAAATTTCACGAATAGACTTATTGCACAGGTGGCATCCTATAACGGTACCATGCTTGAATTCACTGAGTTCCTGAGAGCAACCCATTCTTTCGCAAATGTTTGTAGAAACAGTCTGCATGCCTAGGTGCTTGATTTTATACACCTGTGATTATGGAAGTGATTGGAACACCTGAATTCAATGATTTGGAGGGGTGTCCACCTTTGGCAAAATAGTGTAGAATTGATTGACTAATAAGTATAAACCTAAACAATACAGACGTGCCCAGTTAAGTTTGCTTTAAGCATTAAACCATGGGGGACAATGCACACCGTGTAACTTTCATGTGTATGTTTTTATACGTATTTATTAAAAATTGCACTGTGCTCAATGATTGCCAGTGACTAAACAAGACAGCTGGGCTATTGAATGTGAAGTGCACATATAAACAGCAAAATATTAAATTGATATAAACTTTCTGTATGTTATATACAGTATATCAATTATGAATAGAAACGTGGTATGTAAGTTACCTATAGGTGATATAGTATGATGTAGTGTAGTAGAGCACCAGTTAATGTAGCAGCAGATAAAAAGTGCAGACATGCCAGCACCTGGTGATGTGAAGAGCTGGTGCTGCTCACTTGGATGAGGAACTTCAGGGAGTTTGTTCGTTTCATTGTGCGTACCAAACCAAAAACGATGTACCGAACGGCGCATAATGAATACAAGTACCATTACAACCCTGTCTCTAGAACATGTTCATTCTTTTTTGTAAGTAATAAAGCTGTTACTGGGGATGTATGTCCTGGGTTTTCCCCTGGCCTCCTCCCAGTGGGACATGCCCGGAACATCTCACCAGGGAGGCATCCTGACCAGATGCCCGAGCCACCTCATCTGGCTCCTCTCGATGCGGAGAAGCAGTGGCTTTACTCTGAGTCCCTCCCGAACGACTGAGCTTCTCACCCTATCTGTAAGGGAGAGCCCAGCCACCCTGAGGAGAAAACCCATTTTGGCCGCTTGTATTCACGACCTCGTACTTTCGGTCACTACCTACAGCTCATGGCCATAGATCTGGGTAGGAACGTAGATCAACTGGTAAATCGAGAGCTTTGCCTTTTGGCTTAGCTCCTTCTTCACCATGACAGACCGATGCAGCGCCCGCATCACTGCTGATGCCGCACCGATACGCCTGTCGATCTCTCGTTCCATCCTTGCCTAACTTGTGAACAAGACCCCAAGATACTTAAACTCCTCTACTTGGGGAAGAACTCCCTCCCTGACCCAGAGAGAGCACTCCACCCTTTTCCGGCTGAGGACCATGGTCTTGGATTTGGAGGTGTTGATTTTCATCCCACCCACTTCACACTCGGCTGCGAACTGCTCCAGCGAGAGCCGAAGGTCACGGTCTAATGAGGCCAACAGAACCACATCATCTGCAAAAAGCAGACACCTAATCCTGAGGTCACCAAACCGGACACCCTCAACGCCCTGGCTGCACCTAGAAATTCTGTCCATAAAAGTTATGAACAGAATTGGTGACTAAGGGCAGCCGTGGCGAAGTCCAATCCTCACCAGAAACGAGTCCGACTTACTGCCAATGCAGACCAAGCTCTGACACCGGTTGTACAGGGACCAAACAGCCCTTATAAGGCAGCCCGGAACCCCATACTCCTGGAGCACTCCCCACAGGACTCCCCGAGGGACACGGTCGAATGCCTTCTCCAAGTCCACAGACCACATGTAGACTGGTTGGGCAAACTCCCAAGCACCCTCCAGGACCCTGCTGAGAGTATAGATCTGATCCACTATTCCACGGCCAAGGCGAAAGCCACACTGCTCCTCCTGAATCCGAGGTTCGACAATCCAACGGACCCTCCTCTCCAGGTCCCCTGAATAGACCTTACCAGGGAGGCTGAGGAGTGTGATCCCCCTATAGTTGGAGCGCACCCTCCGGTTCCCCTTCTTAAAGAGTGGGACCACTACCCTGGTCAGCCAATCCAGAGGCACCGCCCCCGATGTCCACGCGATGCTGCAGATGCGTGTCAACCAGGACAGCCCTGCAACATCCAGAGCCTTGAGGAACTCCGGGTGGATCTCATCCACCCCCGGGGCCTGGCCACCAAAGAGCTATTTAACCCCCTCAGCGACATCAGCCCCAGAGATAGGTGAGTCCACCCCCAAGTCCCCAGACTCTGCTTCCTCATTGGAAGACATGTCAGTGGGATTGAAGAGGTCTTCGAAGTATTCCTTCCACCGACCCACAACGTCCCGAGCTGAGGTCAGCAGCACCCCATCCCCACCATAAAGAGTGTTGATGCTACATCGCTTTCCCGCCCTGAGCCGCCAGATGGTGTACTAGAATCTCCTCGAAGCCTTCCGGAAGTCGTTCTCCATGGCCTCGCACTGTTGGTATCCATAATGGTGAAAATGAGTATCTAATCAGATATTATTCAATATTAAAAATTAGTATCTGAGAATCGACAACCCCAATGTCTCATTATTTTCAACTCCAGCATCAGCTATATGTTCCGTTTCTAATCTTTCGCGGTACATTTTTAGCGGTGCAGAAGTTTCGAGCTGCGCCACTTTCCGAACGTTGGGTAGGCTACTTAAATCAGTATTGGGGTATAAGAAAAATTCATATCATAACAATACTAAAAAACGGTTTTCGGTATGAAGCGGTATACCGCCCAGCACTAAGAGTAGCCCATATCTAATATATCCCCTCTTGTTGAAGCTTCCAGGGTCCCAAAGCAGGTGCCACTGCCAATGTTCTAGATCCAGTCAGGTCCTTGGTGGTGAGGCAATTAGCATGGCCAATGTCTTGGAACATCTCAGAAGTTCAGGCTCAAATACTGCCAGAACCTGCTCTACACCTAATATTCAGATGCTGCTGCTGGTATCACTGCTGGCCCTCGTGCTGAGGTGAGGAGGAGGGCAAATCTGGTGGCTGAATCTTCTGACAGCTTCTGAGCATATTTGATATCAGGCAAGGACCCTACGCTTCAACTGACGACCAAGCTGTCATCACCCATTGTGATACAAGAACGAGTCAATCGGCAGCAGGATTGCCAAACCCTAGACTTTACATCCTGATCCTGGGTGGATTCAGTCCATCTCATGCACTGCTACCTGATTCTGTCCTTTCAAGCTTAAATAAAACATTACTTCCTTCTTAAGCCACCCATTTGTGGACTCCTAGACTGCTACCAGGCCCACAACTGCCTATTCTTCAGCCCCACTGCTGCCACTGGCCAGGTCTTTGTTCTGGGCGGCTTACAGACCATGTGGGCATAAACCTAAGGGAGGAGACGAGTGACACAGAAGGAGACTGAGCTGGCTTAACATGATCAGCTGTGTCTCCGTGGAAACCGATCACACACCCTAGTCAACAAGTGCTTCGGCCAGTAGAACGCTCATCAGGCAGCTGTCTCTCATTACGGTTTAAACAGGCCCAGCTGGGCGGATATGAGGGAGCAGGCAGTATGAAGTGTACCCTGGGTCAGGTGTCATCTACACAAGGGTTTGGGAACATTGTGTCAGGGTGGTTTTCCCTGACCTTTCCAATGTTTAGTTTGTGCTGCTTAAAAAGGAACCTCCAGTCCATTTAGTGCTTACCGCATAGAATAATAAGGCCCCTTTGTTCCATTAACCCCGCCGAGCCTGTGGTAGGCCTCAAACCCGCAAACACGCACACACAACAACGAAGGCACACACTGTGACACATTTAAGTATTAAATGAGGTGGAATTCAGAGTAGATTATCTTATCTAAAATAAAAAATTTTAAAGTGCATAGTTGTCAGAAAAGCATGAATAATATATTAAACAGTTGTCGACATTAAATATGTGTAAGCCTATAAATGATACTTTTCTGTAAATAATGACCAGAAAACATTGATTCATTTATGTGTGTGGTTCTATTTCAAATAAGCCTAAAGTTCTCATACTTTAAGTACTGATGTCTTCATTTTCCAGAATGTGTCTCAGCAAATTTAAATGTAACAAATTTTATTTCAATTGTGTTTCTTTTTCGGTCCTACAAATGCGGTTAAAAACTGAAAGCTTACCACTAAATCCCAGTTGTTCAGTTCCAGTAGAGCGATAGCTTCTGCTATGTTGTCAATACCAGTGCAAGCCTGAAAAACAAACAAAAAAAATCCATTTAGATGCTCTTCAAGGCACGTTTTGGTGTGTGGAACAATAAAAAGGGGATATGCAGGTACAGAGCTGACAAGAGAGCCACACAAGCCCAACAGACCCAAGACGATGTCCATAAAACTCAATCCTCCCAGCACAAAGGCCAAGGTCAGAAGTAGCTTCTGCAAGGAAACAAAGTTTGCAGAATCAAAGCTGACCAAAGAGAATTGCTTAGAAAAAGAACAAAGTTATGAAATACACAAAGGGCTCACACCGATAGGTGACCTCCCTCTGAAGTGCTTACTGATTGGCACATTCAAAGGGATTATAGTACAAGTTAGAGATCCATTATAGTCTTTCAAATCAAGCTTACATTTTACTGCTCATATTAACACTTATACAAGATTAAATTATCATTCCATACCATTCTCCATAAGAAAAACATTTAACAATTATGATGAGTCTGCCAGCTTATTAGACCTTATGAGTCTGCCAGCTTATTATTTCCGTCATGTGACTATTGATGTGAAGCAGCACAGGACATGATGGTTAAGGACACAGAACTATTAATCCATCTGTACAGCAGTTTGAACTGCCTTTCGGTAAAGGCACTAAAGCACATCCTAACAGCGTGCATATGTCCATGACGGAGAGTCATTCTTTACAATACTACATGCGTAGACATGTCTTTAAAGGTTAACTATGTAGAACATGACCTCAAGAATCAGATACAAATATTTTTAATATAATATTAATATATATACATAAACATACATTAAGAAAATTTGTTTTACACTCAGGCTCACCAGCCAGCTGACGTACCTTTAAAACATTCCCTGGCCGAGGTTTAAGGCTGCCACTAACGACTATTTTTATATAGATTAATCTATCGACTATTTTACCGATTGGTCGATTAATCTAATTTAATTTTCCTCCAGAAAATCACATTGACCGTTTAAGTTCATTTTACTTTGACAACAAACTATGTCATTGCAGGACTTTAGATAATGCACGCCAGCTTTTCTGCACTATACAGATATTATTTTTGCCCACAATTCGATAAGCAGATTAGTAGGATGCCAAAAATATTAATAATGTGTATTTTGATGCCCAAAAGTAAGTAATCTTAAATATCTTTATGCTTATTAAATTCGGTTAGGACCACATACTGCTTCCAGTATTTACCAAAACAGAAGTAAGTACTGAAGTGGCGGTGAAGAAAGGGACAGCTTAACAAATACAACATCTTTTAAAAGAGGAGATATTGTGGATAAATGAGGTAAAAGGACGTTGGTGGGGTGCCGGTTCATTTTGCTGATTAAAGCCTGGCAATATAGTTATCATCATTTCAAGTTAATTTTTTCCGTTAGTTTCCATTTTCCTTTCAGTTTTATTTGACGGTAATAAAACTGGTCCCAACAACCCAAACTCACACGAACACACACACTGGCACCGTTATTCAACATAGAATAAGCCCAGATTTTAGCCTAAACATTTTCTCTCATACTTATTCAATGGAGATTCTGAGGTAGCAAGCAGACAACTACATGGCTTTAACAATGAGTGGATTTAGCAACTGCAAAGGCAAAAGATATTAAGAAGCTCTCCTTCTTAATGGCAATTTAATAAACATAAGTAGACAACACTTATCGTATTTTGCCTTTTCTGCCGGTCCATCATCCAAAATAGTGCTCGTGTATAGCACTGTGCTGTGTGGTATGCCATCGAAAATTTGCACAGTGTAAAACCACCTTTTTGTTTAGTAAACTATTCCCATAATTACACAGTGATATTAAAGGAAAACATATGTTATAATGGGCTGAAGGGTTTTAAAAACTATAAAGGTAATTTCAGTAAAATTTAAAATACAATGCGTCGATTTCAAATATTGATGTTGACGTATTCTCAGCGTTGACGTCATCAACTACGTCGGCTAATCGCAGCAGCCCTACTAAGCTTACACACCCTGCACATTTATACATTTATACAAATTACCAACTTTTGGACATCACAATATGCATCTCATTAATATTTTTAGGCATACTACTAATCTGCTTATCGAATTGTGGGCTGAAAATAATGTCAATAAAGTGCTGAAAAGCCAAAAAACATTATCCAACTATTTGTTGTCAAAATTAACTTCAACTAAACGGTCAAGTTAATTATCTGGAGGAAAATTAATCATTTTGATTAATCAACCAATTGGCAAAATAGTCAATAGATTAATCTATAGAAATATTGTCAGTAGTGGCAGCCCTGACAAATTACATAATACTTACACATAAGTACAATAAAATGGGGAATTAAATTGAATGAGATTGATAGGCCACAATAAAAGAGTATTGCAGTAGAAGGTCCTGAGAAAAGGCAGGAATCAGGCGCTGAATCCTTGTCGCCCACCCAGTCACAGTGATCTCTCATTGAAATCCTCTCCCTCTGCCCTAGAAAGAGTGGATGTCTCAAAGGTGCTATGGTTCAGCTACAAGCATGAAGCCCTACACCCGGGTCCCTGTCCTCAGCACTGCTCTGCCCCCACCCAGACCACAGGTACCAGTGAAACAAATCAAAACTTATTTTTCTCCAAGTCAGTGGACCACCCCCCCCACCCCCACTTTGCCAGTTGTGATATTTAATAACATGCTTTAAAAATATAATATTTTTGTTTACATAACTATACATCAGTTCTTTAACAGATAGTAAGACTTGTGCCTGCCAAGTAGGGAACCAACTGTGAAGAGCAGCAGAAGGCCAGTGTAAGGACTGCATTCAAAGCCTGAGTCCCCGTTCTCCATTAAGAACAAACTCAAAACATGGTACCTCTAGGGAGCCACCTTTGGAATAACACAGCCCAGTCCGGTTCTGGCGAATGCAGAGAAATTCCCCAAGAGCACAACTGAGAATAGTACTGTGTCTCAACTTCTACTAAGGAAATGGAAGAATGTTTGAACTAGACTGGGAAGAAAATAAAAAATGGAAAAGGGACAAAAGGAGATAAATCTAATGGCTAAATACATATACATGACAAAAATGTACTTTGAATTAACACACTGACAAAGAAATTTCATTAAATCACCCTTAGACAGAAGAGTAGGAGAACCAGTTTTGATCCATCATTGCCTTACATATAATATAACAATCATCATTAAAAATGTAACTACTAAACACGCACCCAGGGGTAGGGTTAGGAATAATATTAGTAGCACACTTCTCAGAAAAGCATACTACAGATTAACGTGAAAGTTTCAGGACAACTGTCATTAACTTTAAGAATATTGTGTGGGCGATCATGAGTTTTGCTCGGTACGAGTTATGAGTGCAAAAATGAAAATAAATCATATATGGACAGGTCACACCAGTGGTGATCAACCACTGCGCCGACATAAAACAAAGCCTACTGCTCACAATCCCGACCCCCACCCATGGTAAAACGTGCCAACAAACTATAGCAGATTAATCCTGAAACTCATTTGACACCCGGAAAAATCACCATAAGACCTCAGCCATAAAAGTACGCTTACACACCTGTCCGTCTCTGACACAAGCTACTCCCGAAAACGTCTGACAAACAGCAAATATGGTTACACTGGCATGGACCTTTATGCACTTCAATGCAGTAATTTTTAAAACTACACCAAAGTTTGCCATGTCTAAACCGGACCTGCCTTTTCAGACCACATAGCCCAACTTACGTCACCTTGTTTTAATGATTGTAGTTGGTTAACAGACCGACTGCACAAAAGGCAGGGAGTCGGTGGTAACTAATCCAATCCACAAAGACATATGCTTATTTTACTTTCTTTTTTTTGGGTTTCTACAGACACGTGTTCACGGTTAAGCCCTGACACTCGGCTGTGAGCTGCCGTCCTTTCATTAAATCTATCCTCGAAAATAAACATACACCCACTTTCCAATTAGCACACTCGTGGTTTAAATAGCCACTTCTTTGACCAGGACAGGAGGTACCGTAGTTAGTCAAGCAGCTACGCTGCCTCAGTGCCCGAGTTTCACATTTGAACACATGAACCTGCAAAAGGGGAAAAACCCACCTGAAAGTCGGCCAGGATCATTTCTCTGTTCATGTCGCTACCGCTACCGGAGGCCATCGCAATGACTGGCTTAACGTTTGCTCTATTGCTCTCTCTCTCTCCTTCTCTTTCCGAAGCAGAGGAGGGACTCGGGTTTCATATACAAATGTCGTCGGAATTTCACAGGGAGAAGGGGGATTAAAAAGACACCTGCCGGGAAACGCCACACTTAGTGCAGTGTTGTGCGGCTCCGTATCTTTTGTGAGTACGAGTGTTCCGTGAACGTCACTTTTTTATCCGCGTCCCTCACGACGTCGTCGTCGCTTTACGGCAATTCGTAAAACTGCGTCGCACAATAAAGACGTGGCCTGCTCCGGTACTGTTAAAGGCGCAGGCCACACCGAACTGCAGTTCCTCATCCGAGTGTTCACTGGGCAGCCCTGCTTCACACAGAATTATACACGCCCCTGTCATCCGTCATTACGTCGTAAAATGTATAGTAGAAAGTGAATAGATAAAAACCCCCAAAAAAAATTGTTAAACGCCATAACTAAAAACAAGAATAACTGGAAAAGTAGGCCAACCTAGGTGGCACTTAATAATGAATATGATTCACGGCGAGTACATTTTTAGGATTCTGTTGTTATCATTGCATGTAGTTTTGGTGTAAGATTATACCAGAGTGGCTTAATAAAAGCAACTGTTAATATTTCGATTATTAGCTACACATGAAATAATGCCGAGAAGCATCTGTTGGACAAACCTGTTATTAAACATGAGGAATTTATTGTGATTCGATATTTTTAAAAACTTGTTCTGTGACAACTGGTTTACGTCAGTCAACAGAAAGCAATATGTTGCGTATAGATGTTTGATGAAGGGGTACTATTATTTAAATTGTATATTGAATAAAACCTAGTATTTTCTAACATGCTTGTAGTAGCAGACTACTGTGCAATCCCAAAAATAATCCATCCATTCATTCATTCATTTTCTGAACCGGGGTCATGGGGCGCGAGGGAGAGAACAACCCAGGATGGGGCACCAACCCATCACAAGATGCACTCCCCCCTTCTCTCTCTCTCTCTCTCTCCAGACGCATAGAACCCAGATTCCAGAGGTGTGAGGCGACAGCGCTAACCACTGTATTACCGTGCCACTCCTGCCAAAAATCAATCGGACCTAATATGAAAATCTTTCATAACAAGTCACGTTGCTGTTGGATTTTGTATGATTAAACGCGTGTCCCTTTCGCAATAACGTAGTAATAACATACGCCCATACGGTTAAGTACTCCATACCAGCATAAAATTTAGTGCGTGCCCCTATAAATTGTGCTTGTGTGTGAATAACAAAAGTCTGCAAACCGCCGTCTCCACTGTCACGGACTCATACGATGCACAAACACGTGTCTTGTGTATAAGCAGACAAGCGAGAGATATGTCCTTCGCTGTTTTATTTCACACATCGCTAAAAGGTTTCATCTATATGTGGCCTATCTGAGTTTTCTGAAGTGTAATTTTTGTAAGCAAAACTTCGACCAGTTCAAGTACCAATAAAAGCACTGTTTTGTGGCCATTTGATGATACGTTCTTATTCTTCAAGCGTGACACGGGGTGGGCGGTGCCGAAACTCAACATCACCGGAGTGCTCGCCCTGTGACAGCTGCAGGCGAGGTACCTCAACTCGACCTCGGTGATTTTTAGTCCCGCCTATCGTCGTCTGTTATGTGACGACTAGAGGTCCCTTGTTTCAAAACTGAGTGATGTCAGTGCAAAAAGCAAGTCTCTTTTTAAAAAAATATCCAATGTCCAATCAGATCACTGAAAATGGAAAGTTGCCTCGCCATCGCGGAGGAATTGCATGGCGCGCAGATAATCAACCCAGCGTAGTGGATCTTATATTTTAAACACTCTACATCTGTATATTATTTTTAAAAAGTTTATAGTGTCTCATGATTTCTCTGCAGGTCACCGCAAGCTTCCTCCCAAAACAGCAGGAGCCAGTCATAAGAGGCGTAATCGTCATTCATAAATCTGGCCATTAAAAATCACCTTTGAACAGGAATGGAAATTGTAAATGATGAAAGATTGATACAATGTTTCACCGGTCGCGGTTTTTTGTCGGCAGTCTCGTCCGCCCGCTTTTAACCGAAATAAACAAGCGCTCAATATTTAATGAGCCAAGCGAGTAGGACGAATTCTCAGCAACCCCCCTGTTTCTACAGTTGAAAAATGGGCGGGAAGCTTGCATAAAACTTTTGAAACCTCATCCCTTAAAATGTCATTGGATACAGCCACTCGTTAAACAAAATCAGACTATCTTCCTTCTTTTTTTTTTTTTTTTTTTTTTAATACACCGAATTGCCATAAACCCCTGCAGCCCCACAGTATGAAATTCCAGACGCGATCAAGGGGAATCATCTCCGAAAGGACAACCATGTCGTTACCTCACTGAGCTGATTATTTTTAAATCGGGGTTTTTGGACGCCGTAGCTGGGTCGCTATGCACCTGTGTACCGGGCGATTTTTCTCAAACGGTGACCCGCCGGAAGCCTCGCAGGACGCATTCGTGGACTTGAACGCTGTAAAATATGTACTATTTATTGGCACTACAATCGGGAGTCCGTCGGATATTTTTTTCCGCAAATACTGCACTTCTTTGCTTTTCTGCAAGCAATCAACATATGAATACTGACTTCCGGATACTTTTTACCTTGTCGAAGAGCAGAATGATCAAAAATACAACAGTATTACTTGACGGCGTTTTTTTTAGCCATGTCGTACGTTTTCTTTGAACTTGTGCGTGGATGTTTTATTCGGCTCACAGTTTTATACCTCCACATGCTGGATTGTTTAAACAAGCGGGTTGCATTGAGTGTTCATTTCATAACTGAAATATTTCAGCCTTCCGACGATGTTGAATGATGCAAGGACAGAGCAGTTTTAATGTGAGCTCCGCTGCTGATTTTATTATATATTTTTTTTGTACATCTTGCAGCCCGGCCCCAGATAAGGGGTATATCAGGACCCTGCACGGATCGATTCGATCTCTCTGCCTTAGGTGATCGCACATGCATCCAACGCTGGGAAAAGCGTAACATCCCTCTTTTCTGAAGTGATGCGGATTGTATAGTGGGATGGTTTTAAAGCGGAAGGCGGATCATGGCACTGTTCCAGTTTCTTTCTGCTAAGTACTCTATTTACCAGTCTTATGGTATGCGCCGTCATCATATACGTGTAAGCATAAGAAAACAAGCGAGTACACACTTAAATTCAGCTGCGGCGCTTTTTTCCACCACGTTGAAAATTGCTCTGCCACCATCGTTTGTTTTTATGAAGAATGGCTGATTTGACTGAAGCAAACAAGCTGACCAGTGCATCTGCAAGGGGAGACTTGTCAGAAGTTGAAACATTATTACAAAGCGGGGCAGATGTCAATAAGGCGAACCGTTTCGGCAGGACGGCGTTACAGGTTGGTATCGTTTTTCGGACGACCACTTGTACATTTGTATGGTTTTGAAGTATGACTTGCTGAGGTTTGCCCAGGGGATTATCTGTTTAACTGCTGGTGTACCGTTAAAACAAGATGTCTTAATGACGTACTGAAATTTTCTCGGTTTTCGGCCGAACTGTGAGATGTTAATACACACTATAGTCAAACTTTCTACTCGTTAATTTAAGGTGATACAAGTAAAAAGGACGATAATGCTGAACTAGTATAATTTTCGTTGTAGTTGGCGTTTATTTTCTTCCATTCTTGCTTAACTCGTGAGACTTCTCATTTATTGTGCTTATGCATGTGGAGGAAATAAAAGATTTTCTACTAAAATAAATCATCAGTAGACATCTGCCTATATTCCACACATTCATTTACCTGATTATACAGCTAAAATAACGTACTAGAACAACTTTGCTTTCAGGCAACTACTTTTGAGAAATCCATAACGCACATCGCAAGTTGCTCTTTTATCTGGACTGGCGTAACCTTATTTCAGTAAATGTGGCGCCATGTAGACAAATTAGTATCATATAGTGATTAAAAAAAAACACCTGCAAAACCAGCACTTAAGTCGTAGTTTTATTTTCAAACAGTCCATAACAAGATTCAGATATTTACCTTGCATAAACCACAGATTCTGCACTCGTTACTGTCATATTAGGGACATCTCTAAATTAAATTTCACTCTGAACTCGCTTTTATGTAATGATATTGCAATGAGAAGACAAATTAGCTCCACTTAAAGTGTGCATAAAATGGTGAACGGCAGCCCAATCACAGAATAGGTTTTATAATTATTCAAAGCACTGATTGTAACACGTATACAGGTTTGTCATATAGATACTCAAATGCAGCAAATTTTCAGTCAGGACTATCAGAATCACAGCTCAAATCAGTCTATCGTATTGCAACATACTGTAGGAGATCTCATAGGCCATTTTGTTGAACTTATTGAAAAGAGCAATGCAATGTTTTAAAATGGTTTTTTAAAAAATAAATTAGGTGCTTGCTAGGCAGATGAGTTGTATTGGGATGGATGATCTACAAAACCGGGAAAAAAACCTTCTTGAGGGCCTCCTTATAACAATACATTTCTATTAAAAATATAGAATATTGATAGTATATGTTTACATGTGTATTAATACATATTTAAGATTCATTGGCTTCATATGATTATTTTTTATTGTTAGGCCTGTTAGATAAGGTCCAGTGTTTCTACTTCTGTGTCCTTTACACATTTACTGAGTTTGGGGGTGTGTAAAATCGTATGTGTAGTTTAAAATATACAGGTACTGAATAGTGGAAAATGTTATTTTCTGCTTTAATAAGAAATATATTTATATATTGCACCATATGTAGACAGGGCTGCTTGACATATTGCAGGTGAACAGTTACAGAGCAAAAAAGGAACATAATGTTGGTGTACATTTTTGTAAGTGTGTTTATGAATGTGACAGCACACTGTTTAAACAAAACAATACATAGAAGTCGCATGAACAAATATTGCATTTGTACAAATTTTTGCAGGACTGGCTGGTGTTTTTAGCGACTAGGTAATTGCAAGATGCAAACAACATTTCAGTGAAAATATTATCACTGTTCAGCAGTGTTTTCATTAGAGAAAAACAAGACACATTTTTTGCCCAAATGTAACATAAGTGTAAGATTATCGGAAAACTACATTAAAAGTGAAGGGTTTGCGTTCCGATAAATTTCTCAGATGAATCTGTGAGTGATTTGAAAAATGAACATAGTAGAGCAGATTAGTTAAATTTTTATTATTTAAACTGATTAACAGTAGGTTACTGGCTTGTTGCACACTGGTCATTTTTGTTATGTGTGTGTGTATGATGCATTATGCTGTGTGTTTAGGATTCAGTGTATACATGCATACACACACACACACACATCAGGCTCAGAATGAATGACACCGTGCAAAGAGCCCACTACCACTATTCAGTCTAAGATGTCAGACGGTGCAGAGAGCTACTGAGAAAAGTGTATTTACAAATTAAAATTTTAAAAATGAAGGAAAGCTTGTTTTTAATTTTAATATTTATGTCACTGCTTTATATTTTTGCTTAAATAAACTAGATTTTGCACAATTCAGATAGGGGAGGGGGGGCAAGACAATTCCTACAAGGAACACAACTCAGAATATCTGAACATCTGAAATGCATTAGAACAATGTGCAAAGGGTTAACAAAAATCATTTTAAAAAGTGTAAAGCATCAGTCAAAATACACCACGTTCAATTGGTCTTAAATTGTGTATTCAGTTAAAAAAATTTCCACAATTGACACTGCCTTTTTCTTTCAGTGTTCAAAATGTGTAATTTTGATAAAAGATTATATAAATCAAATGCAAAACTAAAGTGATATATTTAGTAAACATACTAAATATAGTATTAATTTAATTTTTGTACTAAAAGTACAACATAAGAAATTTCTAACATTTAAGCTTTCTTAATTTTAAGGGGGAAATTATTTTTCTTATTATGTTCTTATTGGTATGTAAGTCCCAATTAAGTGTGTTATATCCCAAACAGTAATTATCTGTTTTCTTTGGCTGCAGGTAATGAAACTCGGTGTCCCCGGTCTTGCTGAGATGTTACTTGAAGCGAAGGCAGATCCGAATAAGCGCGACCCGGTGAAAGACCTGACGATCGCTCACGACGCCGCCCGGGGCGGCTACCTGGAAACGCTACAGGTTTTAGTGAAGTACGGCGCCGACGTCAACGCGGTGGACAGTGACGGCAACCTACCGCTGCACCTGGCCGCTCAGGCCGGCTACCGGGATGTGGTTGAGTTTCTGGAGCAGTGCACGGCGGACCAAGGGAATACGGCGGATGACCTGACGCCGACGCACAGCAAAGAGTACATCCAAGGGCGTATGCAATCTCAGAATTAAAGCGTTTTTCTTTTTTAAAAATGATGTTGAGCAGGTGAAATTGTGGAAAAGAAACCTGCCCTCTCTTGATATTGTATGAACACATCTAACCACAAAACAAAAATAATTTTATTTGTATAACACCGAATTTTACAGTGAGACCCACACACACACACACACATATATATATAGTTTGACGTTATGAAGGCACGTCATAATCATATTGTTTTCCAGGATGTTTTCATTTTTTACATATTTCACACAAAGCTTTGTAAATAACACTTATAAAATGTCTGACAGCCAACCCAGCTTTCAGTTGATTTCAAATTCACTTTACCCGCCCTTGCTTTGCATTGTTATGCGCCATATGCTTATTTAAATATGTTTATTTCGTTTTTATTGTACAATTTCATCCGTTCTATGGTACGGCTTTTCTTGCAGAACCGCAGTGGCTAAGAGATGTGGGCTTATACGTTTTGTTTTGTGTATTTATTTGCACTTCTGTTGTAAATAATAAGTATTTTGTCCATACTGAACTGTGAAAGCATAGATATTATTAACATTTTAATGTGACTTGCAAATGTTACCAAAGACAATGCTATTTAATGTGTACATTGTGTGATTCTTTCAAAACTCGCAAAAATTTAAAGCAAAAAACTCATTAAGAAACAGTATTTCTTTATCATGTTGAGTAAACTTCTATTCGGTTGTCACTGTCATTTTTAAATGTAGGCTACCCACAAAACTGAAACCATGTTGTGTTTTTGTTTTAAAAGAAGGAATACGTGTTATTCTATTTCATAATTTTATATTGTAAATTAACATTTCATTTTAAGATATACTCATCTCTGTACACTGCAGAGACGGTGAATTTCTTTAAACATGAGCGGCCTGTAATAAACAATAGGCAAAATGTTGCTTTAACATTTTTCAACAACACTGCTGACAGAGTATAGCATCAACCGACAAACACAATACCGTTTTATTTTTAATGCCTGCTGCACAGTCGAACGCAACACAGGCTCAATTTTTGACCGCGCAGTCTGACGGAGACGCAAAAATGAACTACATAATATCAAACTTTCGGGCGTCTCGCATGCTGCTTTGATGGGTACATGGTCTGACATTAGTCACATCTAGACACGATCGTCATCTCTACGATCACGATCTGCGTGTAATCGAAGAAATTACAGCGAACCGGGTACCAGAGACTGCAGAGATTGTTTTAAATGCATATTTATATGCACACCTATTACCCCATCCACGGTAAACGCTCAATTTCGTTTTCAAAACTTTCTACGGCTTTTGACGTCCTGCAGCGTTTTGATTATTGGCTTACCAGGTTCATTGTCTACTGTCATCATATCAATTTCAGATTCTTGGATTAAGCATTTTAGCCTATGACGAATTGCTGCCTGTGTTGTTTATCAGTGTCTATATTATAGTAATTTCTTTCTGATGTTTTGAACACCCCGAGCTTTACATTTCAGTATTTGCATCTCAAATTATAATTAATATGTTAATTAAGAAGTGAATGAAGCAAGCTAAACCTAGAAGCTCAAATCCCATTTCGCTGCTAAAACCAAACCGTTAGGTCGCTTTTCCTTTGGCACCTTTCAAATTTTGGCGCTTTGTAATATTGCAGAGGTTATGAGCAGAAATAAAAGGTGTCTTGCAAAATGTCAAGTCCGTAACCTATTTGCGTTGCAGGCTAGTAAGCCGTGTTTAGCTTTTTACGAACTTGAGATATTAGCGATCAGATTTTAATACATCAGACACATCCGACCTCTTCCTGGTTACTTCGGGCATGCCGAATACAATCTCGATAATAAAAGAAGCTTGCAATTCTTAAAAGAGAAGATCTGGGAACAAAAAATATTTGACAGAAGCCTAATCGTGTACCTAACAGGTCTTATTAGCTTTACATTTAAATCGATTGTGCTGCCCCACGTAATTTAAACCCGGAAAGTATTGTTACATGATGAAGTGACCTTCATATCGTTAACTTGGATTACTCACCATGGTTTCAAAATGAAATAAGCTTAAAAACAACAACGATGGAACACAGGAAATCTAGAAAAATGTACTGCAGCGGCCATTGTCGGCAATATTGTCCCAAAAGCCAGAACAATTTAACAAGTGCGTGTGCGTTAGCATGTTTACTATATAGACGTGACTTGCACTTACGACTCATGTTAAGTATGTAATATCGGTGGCCATGCAGGCCGGTGTTTTTGGTACGTGAGAACTTAGAGGAAGCTAGGCTGCTGTCGTTTTTAATCAATAAATAACTGTGAAGAATCTGATTGTTGATAATGCTAGTATACCCCGATAAAACGATCGACTTCTACTTAATGAAAAATATCTGCTTTTACTCGGGCTTCTGTTAGTATTAAAACAAATAAATAAAACGGTAACAGTATGCTAGTTATTGGCGAAGAAAATTATAGACAAACAGTGAAGTCCCCACAGTCTTGGTGTATTAAAGGGCACTTAACCTTACATTTAAAATATTTTTTCCCCCGTTTTTAAGGGTCTTTCTTGTGCTGCACTAAAACTTCAGAGAAGGTAGGGAAAATGTTGATGGATTTTTTTATATTGTTTTGTTTGTTTCGAGTTTAGCACAAAGCTTAGACACTAACCCACTTTTGTTCTTTCTTAAAATAACAAGCTTTTATTAGTGATTTATAAAAAAAAAAATAGTGAGAATGCATTTAAGATTTAGGAATATTTAGCACCAACAAGCAATAATGTACCAAACCAATCACAAAGTAAGACAATTAAGCCCAGATGTGACATACGACCTATATTTCAACTAAGTATTTGATTATTAAAAACCTAAAAAATTCCAAAAATCGTGTAATTGATTTTATATGAAAAAACAGACGTGTGACGTTTGAAAGGATTTTATAGCGTTTGTAGCAGTGGGGAAAGGCAAAAAGATTAAGTCCATAAATTGTACAGGACAACTTGTGTAAGTTATTTACACCATATGAATCAAATGAATTCAAATTAAGCCGAACTTAAGTCACATTGTCCCTTCTGCAGCTTTTGAGAAACTTGCTGGCCAAAGTGATTGTGTGTACTCTGCAAACATATTTTCCAGCATAATGTTCTGGCCCAATGAACAGAAATGCAGTCTGTGAATAATGCCTATATGTTTTGCTTACGTTTGAGAAGGTAAGATTAAAATAAGTCATATTCGTTTATTGTCTAAGAGTTTCCTATATTTGTAAGGATATTCTTTTGCTCACTGCGGACGCTGGCTATTTAGCGCATTGTTAATTTTGTGAAATGCTTAGAGTAATGGGTGCTTCTAGGAAAACTGGCGCATATGCAAGGAAAGGTCACTAGTCTGGTTAATGTGGTTATGTTTTCGCATAAATGAGTTTAATGTATACATATGGACTTTAGGGAACACAGGGCCAAACGTCTTTGCTATATAATGTGTATATTTGCAGTGTTCAACCAGCTAAAAGTAAAAAAAAAAAAGTTAAATGAGTGCCAAATAAATCAGTTCTATTCAAACACGTGCTGCTTATTTTAAAACAAATGCATCCATGTATTTGGTTAACTTTGTTACGTCATTTTAATTAGTTTTAAAACATAATCAAGAACTCCCCGATAAGGCTGTCAAAATTAGTCATACAAACACGTTTTCTTGTTTACAAATTTATTGCAAAGCAAATGTGAAATTCCTTACTGGCTGTTCTACTTAGTTACAAATGAGTTTGACTTTCACATGGCCGCATGGATTTCTGTTGTCCTGTTATGCTCACTGCGTGAGCGTGGGAGAAGACCTGTAAGTCTCACCCAAAAGCCTGCCAAACAATTATCAGGTATTCAGTGATTTCACTTAACGTATGCCTTATGTGACACGAAAATCTCAATGAGACGAATCCAAATGCAGCCTGAATTAAATACAAAGTCTGAAACGGGTTTTTAATAATTACTTAGTTCCAGGGGACCGCTTTCTGAGAATGGGCTGCTGGCTTAGCTCCTCCTATCGGCCCTTATTAGCCTCCTCGCAGGGACAGCGGCTCATCTTTCCAAGGGGGAGGACGGCAGTCGGAGGAGCGCGGGTCAGCTGGCCCTTGCTTTCTGGGGGCCGTTATATGCAGTCCGGCAAGCTGGTGATAGACCGCAGGACGACCAAAGGTGAATAGAATATAGCAGCATATAGTAATCCAATAACAAGAGAATAAAGCTTAAAATTTAACTTAGCTTTTGAAGTTAAATCTTTACTTTATAATAACACCAAAATTAATTCAAGTTAATAATTGCTGGCAGTGGTAATCTTTGATTGATGATGATGATGATGATTATTATTATTATTATTATTATTATTATTATTATTACTAATAGTAGTAACAGACATCAATGTAATGGATTTGAACTCCATGTACTTCGGCCCTATATAGATACTGATATTCACACTGGAATTATGACATCCATACAATTCTGTATTCACAGTTGTGTATTTATACTTTGCACTGTAAAGCACAGGCATTAATGTGTTAATATTTTCCATTAGTAGACACAGTCCTAAATAATAATTCGATAACGTTTTGTTTGTGTGGTTTTATTGTTGTCCAGTGAAGTGGGAGGATACTGGTTGGTTTGTGTCTGAGAATGGAAGCTGTGGGGGTGCCAGGTGGAGCTGGCGGTATCTGGGTGCTGCTCATGTGTTCAGCCTTTGGAGCTGCTGGGAAGCCCACCTGCTAGGTGCCCCTTGAGTTCCTGTCACATGGAGTTCCATGACCAGCTGAGGATGTCACTGTATGTCGTTCATGTGATCTCTGCCACACGACAGAATCTGGTGAATGAGTTTAGAGCAGGGGTAGGCAAGCCTGATCTTGCAGTGCCAATGCCTAGCAAATTTTCTACCCCACCTGATGAATTACTATAGGCCTGATATCAGGTGTGGTTCATCAGAGATCAGGTAGGATGGAAAACCTGCTGGATACCAGCACTCCAGGATCAGGGTTGCCTCCCCCTGGTCTGGAGAATCCATCAGTCCTGTTTGAACAATGTTCATAGCCAAAAAAGCTGCCACCATTACTACATGCTTCAGGCCTAGGGGGCAGTGTGTGGCTCTGTAGGCTCGGAATGCTGCCAGTTCAAATCTCATGTAATGATATCACTGCTGAGCCCTTAAACCCCCCTGCTCCAGGGATGGCGGATTATGTGTTTTATAGGAGAGGAGGATGGGTCACAGTGTTTTCAATTTTTATTATGAATATTCTGAAATATTACATACAATACATTTACCATTCAGGACAATTAAGTAAATATTTACAGTAATATTACAGATGAGATAAAGTTTTTAATACAGTTTATATAGTAACAATAGAAATAGTTGACAATGAATATGCAAATTAACAAAAGTTGTGGAACTAATTTATTAAACACCTGAATCATTCATAACATAAGCAGTATTTTGAATTAACATCCCACAATGGGTATGCCTGCATTGCTGTGCATCTATTCCTGGCCTTCTTTTATGTCCGATGGCATAGCCATAACACACACACTCACAGGTTCGTAATTATATATACTCTCCATTCATTTCTATGGGGAAAACTCTAATCCCAACATGATGACCTTAACCCCTACCCAGCCCTAACCTTACCCACAAGTAACCAAACAAAATTTGAGACTTTTGGCATTTTTAGTTTTTTTGCATTGCATTCAATGATCTTTGTGGGGACCTGAAAAATGGTCCTCAGAACATCAAAATAACAAGTTTTTATCACATTGTGGGGCATTTGGTCCCCACAATGTAATATAAACATAATCCACACACACACACACACACATTACCTGGCTGTGGATTACGGGAGTTTTCATTATGTAGACATCTGATGGCTACAGTTACTTTGTTATCACACATAAAAGGGTTGTTCATGCAGGAAACATTCATTTCAGTTCATTGAGATGTGACTGATTATGCCCTGAAAGTGATATAGATGAATCACAGACGACATGAGGCCTGTAGCCGATACTGTCAGAAGCATGGACCAGCACACACAGATCATGCTTAGGAAACATTTACATTTATTTACTCGCTAGATGCTTCTGTCCAAAACAATGTATTTCTGAGGAAATCTTGAGGTCAGACATTGAGGCCCAGTGCTGAAATCACTCTGCCAGCCGTGGGATTTCTTCACTGCATGAGCGTGGGAGGCAACCCAATAACACACAGAGGCATGTTCCATTCAAACCCATCGGGACGTTTTCTTTTTTTTACAAAGACTACATGTGGTAGCAGAATTGCCCTGCCCAGTGAGATCAGATCACACTTTTATTTTGCCCATATTTTGACCAGAGGTCCTGGTTCTCCCTAATCCATTCCTATAGTCACACAACCAGAATCACTAAACAACCATTAGATGTAATTAACAGATATTCCTGTGAACTCTGTGAAAGTGCCCAGTGGCTTATAAGTATATTGCAATTTTTTTGGTTTTATAACAAAAAACATTACTTTATAAATTTGTTTATAAAAACGATATATCACATTGGAAACAACCTGTAGTTTTAAGTAAAACATTTATCTCAAGTAGTAATAAATTTAGACCCAAATTATAGTTGTAAAAGAACTGTGTTAAAAAGTTCATTGACTTGCAGTCTCATGTGGTGCTTTTTAACTAGTAACATCTTTGCAATGACATAAACACCTAACATTTGTGTTTATTAACTATTTGGGAGCTAAAAACTACAGTTGCAATTAATAGCAAAATGGCAAGAAAAGAACTGAATGAGGCAGTCAAAAAAATAAAGACTTAATAAAAAGAAAAGGTCTGCAGAAGATATGTGCAGATATGTCAAACATTGCTTGTCAATGGAGTTTTGTTATGAAATGAATAAATTTGCAACATTTTTACAGAATTAAGCAAAGCATCTCGAGACTTTCTGTCAGCACTGCATATACTTTATAATACTGTATAACCTTTTCTGGTCCACCTGTCAATTTGAGGGATACACTTTTATTTATGGATATATTTCAATATGCTATACAAAACATTACAATTTGTGTAAATGTTTCACCATAAGAAAATATTGATTGATCTGATTATGGGGACTTTCAGTGACATGGAAAGCAGCAGTGAAGTTTACCCCGGGAGGTATCTAAAAGTACACTGTGTTCCCTGGACTCAGCAGAAGCAAATGTAGCATGATTATCAGAAACAATAGCATCTGTGTGTGGGGGGGAGGGGGGGGGGGCATGTGTAGGGGCAGTCTAGACTCTCAGTGTCTGTGCAACAGTACATAGTTTTTAAGCACCCAGCAGAGAGATCTAGCGTGGTTTGTAAGGGGAGAGGATCATGGGAAACTGGCTTCAGGGTGATGTAGCAACCCAGACAATGATAGCTGTAATTAAGTGAATGACCAGCCAGATTCTAATTTATATATATATATATATATATATATATATATATATATATATATATATATATATATATGTGTGTATATATATATGTATATATATATATGTGTATATATATATATATATGTATATATATATATATATATGTATATATATATGTGTGTGTGTCTGTGTTAATTTCAACATGATTTACGAGATGTTTCGATTTGTTTTGATTATTTAAATTAAATGGTATTTTACATTATCTTCTGATATAATTTCACCCCCTACACACTACTAAAAAATATTCTGTTTATTCTAGAAGGTAACGACAGAAATGTGCGCAATGGCCTCACCTGCATTTTATGCCAACTGAAAGTGTGCCA